TTGGAACTGCTGCTACAGTCGCTTCAGGTGGTGGTGCTGGTGGAAATGTTGTACTCTCAGTTGGTGTTGGCATCGATGGTTGAGATGGCTCTGATATTGGTTGTTCTGCCTTTGGCAGTGGTGATGGCGGTGCAGGTGTTGGTGTTGGTCTTGACGCTTGAAGTGGTTCTGATGATGGTTGTCCTGTCTTTGGCGGTGGTGATGGTGATGCAGGTGATGGGGTTGGTGATGGTGATACTGGAGATGGTTGTCCAGTTCGTGTTGCACTCCTGGCTGGGGCTTCTGTGGATGATCTGGCAGGTGCTTCTGCTGGGGTTTCGGGGACATCTGCATACGGATTATCACTTGGGGCTACGCCAATGGGAACATCTGGGGCTTCTTGGTACTGACGATTCATGTGGCTATATAACCCATAGACCGTTGGGGGTAAACCACCACCTCTCCTGGGAATGCTCTGGAATGCGTCAGTTCTAAACACAAGATGTCCACTGGGAGCTCTCTCAAGTGGAATGTGGATCGCGTCCGAACCCCAGCTAATGGTATAGCTACCCGTGGCTGTGAGGGTGAGCATCTCCCTGCCAGGTGCCATTTCCAGCACGGCATTGTGATTGCTCATGCTCCTCAAGCCAAGTAGTGCTGGGAGGTCGCGGCCCTCCCCCTCTACCATTGGGGTTTCGAAGTTGAATGATACAGATTCTCCCCTAACCAATGGACCATCACCTTCTTCCGGTTGAGATCGGGGGTGGATGATATTGGGCATTGCTATCGGCAATGTGGCTACATGCGTACAGCTTTGAGTACCCTGTCCTACTCCCCTGACAGCCATTGGATTAGTCATGGACTTGCGCGTCGACCTCAGGCCCGCATTCCGCGCGGCTGTGGCTTGACGTTCGGCCCATTGCTGACCTGCTAGATTGGTCCATGCCCCGGGATCAACTACAATTGATTGGTGACCAGGCACTTGGGTGGATGAGTGGTATGCTGATGCGGCTCCAGCTGCTTCTGGAGCATCTGGCCACCATGGAAAAGTGGGGGTCCCATGTGGTGTCCTAAACTCATCATGTTGATCTGCTCTTGGAGATGTGGGTGCAATGTAGCGATAATGTGCAACTACATGTCCCCCGCCACGGCAGCATGGGCATGTTGGATTTTCTTCCCTCAAAAGAATCTCAGTCCAACAGTTTTCATGGAAGGTATGTCTGCAGGTCAATCGCACCAGTTGTTCTCCTGCATTGTATTCTTCCAAACAAATGCTGCAGCGGTGTTCATCCCCCAAGTATTCAACATTGGTGTGTTCGGCATGTGGAGTTACCATGGGTTCTGCATTATTCGAGGGCACAGCAGTGGGGGCCGGATTCACCTCACTCCTCGAACCTTCCGAGTCTCTGTTCCTCATCTCCTGCAAGGTCATCATCGTCCGGTGTTGATGATGAAGAGCACGTACCTGCGGATGGTTGAATGCTGGTTCACTGACCTGTCCGGATACTCTAGAAGCCATTGGGACCTCACGCAGCTGGCTTGCCTGATGAAAGTCCCCCACAACTTGACTACGGATCGGGTCAAGAGTGCTAATAGCATTCTCCGAGACAATCGGATGATAGGTCGGTGCATGCACCTCCGAGGCAGTTCCCTGCAGGAAGTTGAACTCGGGCATTGACGCCCATTCTGGTAATTCCGGTGCCGGATGCCGAAGGATCACCGTGGGGATCTCCCCTGGTCCCACGATCAGTGGGTGTCGCGACATTTCGTGCCGTTGGACCTGTGGCAATTGCATTGGTGGTGGTTGCATGTTTTGGGCAACATATGGTTCTTGAATAGTAGTCGATTCTGCAACAGGTTGCTGTGAAAATGGTTCATTGTTTACATTTCTGCCCTGTGGATTAGTGGGGTTATTCTGGGGAGGATTATTCATTGGATTAGTGGCTAATGGGGTGTTATGGGTAAATTGGTTCATCAGTGGCGGTCCGAATGATCGTGGTTCCGTGGTCGGATGCATCAGGCCATTCAGGCCGTTGAAGACACTCTGCACATACAGGGATTGGTCGGCCATATCCACTGTCCGGGTCGTGCGCGGCAGTGGTGGCATAGGGTTCACAATCCCCCCAACGACCTGCTTCCCTGTCCTGTTCTCGTGGTACCGCCTCCAAGGATCACTGTTGGCCCACGGGTCCTGAGGTACAGCTGGCAACGTGGATGCATTTGATGGAGGTCCACCAGAAACTGTTGACCAATGATCAGTTCCGGATTCCTGTCCAACATTGACATCTACTTCATTAACCATGAGGACCGTGGTTGATGTGATTACTCCTGGGGGAATTTGATCGGCGGTGTCCAAGTCTACAAACAGGTTCTGCGAAGTGTCACCGGCGGCAGCCCGTCTAGGGCATTTGGCGACCAGATGTTCTTCCGAACCACATTCGTGGCATTTCATCCTACGTCCATCCGGGCCTCTTGGATTGCCCTTTCTGCCTTTACCCTTTCCACTCCCGGCTCCCTTCTTTCCACCTTTTGCCCTAAAGGCTGGGAAAATTTCCATGAGCTGGGATTCATTGAGTTCTGACAGATAAGATGAAGTATTGGTGATCTTGCCTTTGGGTTTTCCATGTTTTGTCTTACCACCTTTTCCACCTTTGTTGATTGTTCTCCGAGCAAACCTACGTGCTTTGCGGGTCGGCTTGCCCATGAATGACCTCCAGCGTGCCTTAGCACGGGAATAGGCCCAGTAGAGTTCGGCTGCCTGTTCATTGGCCGTGGCACCCTCAGCAGCTGGCCAGGCTTCATCGCCATAGTCACTGCTGGTGTCAGTATCAGTGCCACTGTCACCCTGCCCATCTGCCAAATACACATATGGATCATATGGCTGTGTATAAGTGGGGTATGCTTCGGATGACTGCCATTGGGATTGCCAAGAACCATGGTCATGCCATGAACTACTGGGTTGGTCATATGGAGATGTGAACACATTTTCATTCCATGAGTGATCGTCCTGAATATGGTAACTATGTGTTGGATTTTGCTTGCCCCTCAACATATTGGACATGTTTCCTGGTGCATTTTTAATGATCCTACCCATGCGTCGAATGGCGCCTTTCAACTCCGTGAACTGCTGCTCATCAGCAGGGAGAGCACCGCCGAGTGGCTGCAAGAGTTGGATCAGTTGAGAGTCCGACACACCTACTGCACGGATCAGCAACCAGGAAAGACCAGCATAGCTCAGGGCGAGTCCACCTGTTTCCGCCGCACGCATGCGGGTAGTATCAAACCTAGTCAGCAATGTGTCAATCCGTTCATTGGATTCCCTTCCAAATGACAACAGATCTCCCACTGCCCCTAGCCGGACTTCCTCACCTAGTCTGGCAAATCGGGTGCTAAGTTGATACATCAAAAACGTGAGTGGATCGGTTTGGGTACCATTTACGGTCCCCCCTGTCAGGATGGTCTGAGGCGGAAGGGTCCTGCTGAATTCCCGAGCTGATCCCTGCAACTGAGAAATCACACTAGCCGCCTTTCGGGATGCATCCCCATCTGTAGCAATGCTCCAAATTAAGATGTCCCTTGACCAAGTACTGAAGCTATACTGATGTTCCATTTCGGGGCTCCAAGCGGGTGGCAGTCTTGGATGGCTACTCCTACCTGGCACCATACAGGCAACAAACGCACATGTGCTAAGGCCGCCTCCAACGGCCAGCATGAGTGTTGAGTCCGAGAGCGATCTACCATCACGGTGACCTGCGGTCATCGAGCCCGAGTTGCCATGGGTGTCAAGAGACTTCGCCATGCGACTGCCTGCTTTGGATCCGGTCATGCATTTGTTCCTGGATCTAATGGCTGCATCTTTCCCATAGATCAGCTTACAGAGTTCCTTGTGACGGGCCTTTAGATGTTTCAGCTTAGAGTCGTACATGTGCAACATCCTTTCAAGTACTGATCTCTGCTGCCGTCTAAGCCGTCTACGCAGAAGTTCTGCCCTACGCTGATCTCGAGGGTTCATTTTGAACTTCCTCCTTGAGTGGTGCAGCCGCACCAGGGTCGAATTCAGCTCCTGCCTCCAGAGATCCCCATTCACCAGGCTGGGCTTGTACTCGCCTTCGGACCTGGCCTGTACTGGGGCTTTGCGACCATTGCTCGCTGCATGCCAGTGTGTAGTGACACTGATCGAGCCTGCCCCAACCGCACTGGACTGGATCACAAGGGCGCTGGTATTGCGATCCTTGATCACCAGCCCAGTGCTGGCTGAGACAGACCCCACCAGTGCCACTACTAACACGGCACACAACTTCAGCACGGCGGTGAACATGATGCCAATCAATGGAGGGAGAATGAAAAGAAAAATGAAACTGTCGAGTCGACCCTTAGGGTATAGCAGATACCTTAAATGGGGTTACTGCCGGGGTTCCCGGCTCCGCTACCAACTCGAAAAGTAGAGGAACTAAAGTGACAAAGATGTACTGTTTCCGCAAATGTCTGTTTTCCTCTGACTGCTTGTGACGAGGTCTTGTGTTTACCTAGGTCGAGCTCTAGAGCCAGAACAGTTACATGGACAACAATGAACCTGAGGTATAGATCATGTACCTTTCAAGTGCTAAGACATATAGCATCCTAGAAGAGGTAAAAGCAGTTATAAGTCAGCACGGCTAGGTTTGACAGACGCGCAGCCATGGGTCGGAAAGGCCGTAGTAAAAAGGATGCGGCGGAAGACCGCGATCCTGGAATGTGCAAAGCAGACCTCTTGCTGGCATACCAACTCATGGATACAACCAATCCATTCCCTTCGGCCTCTGTAGCTGCGAGGCAACCTCTGGCTTGGAAGGTTTGCTGCGCGTTGGCCCAAGCAGCTTCCTTGCATCCTGGGTGCATGTTTGTGCACATGTTGTGCTTGGTGGCTCTGACTCTCAATGCGGTGCAGGTGAAATACTCTGGCTTGCTGGGAAAATTCTGCAATTTGATGGTCTCTTGCCTGGGGCTGGTGTGGCCATGAGTCGCTGGCCCTGTAGCATCTGTCAGCGAAGATGTTGCTGCAGCTTGCGCAACACTGCCCATGGGGTGACTGATGCGCATTTGTAGAGGAGTGCCAAATAGCGTAGTCTGGACACTCGCAACACTGTCGTTGGTGCGGGCATGCTCAATGTGGACAAAAGTTCATCATCTGTAAGCGGTTGGTCTGGTTGGATCTTCAGTAGCCGACGATAGAGTCTCATGTAGGCGCTGTGAAAATAGTGTTTGTTGGCCTTATCCATCAGCGTCCAAGACTCTGTGCCGTACACAACCTTGCTGGCAATGAGGTTTGGAAAAGCTCTCCACGCTTCTCAAAGGGAATCCCTGGATTTTGAAACAGTGCCTTGCGATGTTGTGTAAAGGTCGTATGGCCCTGTGCAATCCTTCTCCTCACCTCTGCTCTAGTCTCTCCACTGTGATGTACGAGTCCACCAAGATGCTGGTAATGCCCGACCACTGTGATTTCACGATTGCCGTTCTCGGTGAGGACGTGCATCTTTCCAGTAGCAGTAGGTCCAAAGTATTTGTGTCGAAGAGCACGGGTGCCTTGCCCACGGAAGGCAAAAAGGATTTCACTCTTGCCCTTCTGCAGGTTAGGAGTAACTCCGTGTCGATGGCATGCATCAAGCAGGATGCCACATGCCACGCCCAGCCTTTGATTCAATAGCATGGGCGGTCGGCGCCGAGAGTGTGATGCAGAGATCATCCATCCATGTTGGCCCTAAATAGGGTATCTGAAATGTCTCCGTTTCCTGTGGGAAGAGGCTGTGGGTTGCTGAGCCCTCAAAGTGCTCGATGATGCCAGCCGCCTGCATCTGCTCTTCTACCATCTTGAGGATGCGTGCAAACATGTATCCGAACACAACGTCGGCGAAGGGGTCGCCTGGGCGAGTACCCACTTCAGTGCGGACATAGTCTGACTGACCACTCATCCAGAAGTGGGTGTCAGTATGAAGTGCACGCAGAGCAGTCTGCAGGTGCTGGGGCAGCCCTGCCAATTCTGTTGCAGAAGGTGTTTGAAGAAGCTCACGTAGGTCATGTAAAACATCTGCATCGAGGCATAATCTTTGGGCAATCTGTCCAAGGACGGCGTCCTGAGTACAGCCTCCAACTGCAATGCGGCCGAATAACTCGGTAGAAAGCTTCTTGGAGATCCAGGAATATGAGGGCTGAGGACGCCTTGTGTTGCTTCGCACTTCGCAGGGAGGCTCGTACATGATGCAGTCCCAGTCCAACGGGGACCTTTTTGCGCCCTCCTATCTGGCTTCTTTGAAGAAATTGTTCGTAGAGGCTGGGTTGTTGTTCTCGGATGGCTCTGTGGAGAGTTTTACCAATGTGGGAGCTGATGAGGAGAGAGCGGTATGAGCTGCAGTCATGTTGCGCTCCCTTTCTTTTCCATGCCGAGACTAAGAGCCCGCCTTTGTGAACCAAGGCTTCTTGTCCATGTGCCACAAGCTTGAACACCTGTGTGAATGTTAGGCTTGCCAGTGTGGCAGGTTGTCCATGACAAAGTTCTGGAGGGATGTCATCGGCTCCAATGGCTTTGCCTGCCTTGACTCTTCTGAATGCTCTTTCCAACTCGACTAGGGTGGGTACATCTTCTGGTTTTAGATGGAGTCGATCCGGTATGAAGTCCCGGAGATTCTGTTGCCACAACTGTTGCAGTCGTGTGGCATCCATCCTTGTGCCCCCCTCCATGGCTCCAAAGAAGGTAATCCAGCGGTCGAGTAGGGCTTGTGGGGTGTCGCAGGGTCGACCTGCTTCATCGTGCACAATGGGTAAAGGTGTTTCCCGTCTGTGTCGTAGATTGGTAGGCCCCACGATGGGCTTGAGCTTCTGGAGGATGACGCTGGCGTGACAATCTTCAGGCAGAGATGTGGATCGTGACGTAGAGCACGGTTGGCAAGTTGATACTGTACTCCGTTTTTGATTTGTGCACACAGTACGGAGATTCTAAACTCTTCCCCTGGTACTTCAGCTCGAGGTGTCTTCCAGGCCGCAAAGGTTCTTGCCAAGAGTTCCCTTGCTTGAATGCGACGAAGATGGCGCAGCCGTCTTCCCGCCTGGAGCTTTCGTGTACGTACTTGCCAGATTTCTTGCGTGATGAAGTGTTTCTTGGGTCCAGCACGTCTTTTTGGACACTGCTTGCTGAGGACCTGTTGGAGATGCACATTGCAGTGGTCAACCTGTATCGCAATGTCTGTGGTCCAGTCAGGTGGTACGTAGTCAAGTAGCTGCGACCGCAGTTGAGAATGTAAAACATCATGACGGTCATATTGGCATATGGTGCTTGAGCTCTTGTTACGTCTCCTAGAGAACTGTGTCCATTGTACTTCAAGTCCAACAGCCGTGTGGTCCCCGAGATTGCCAAGGTCCAGCTCTGGAATGGTTCGTGATATAGTGCATGATGAAAGCCACGTCTTGGGAATGGCAACATAGTCAATGCGATGACCGTGATTGGTGGCTGGGCAGATCCAAGTTTCTTGATCTCCTTGATGACGGTCACTGGTAGCAGGCAGGCACAGCCGTTGAGCTACGAGTAGATCTCGAAGGAGGGGAGTGCTGCTTGTGGCTTTGTCATCATTGTGGAATGCATGTTGATCATCAGCTTCTCCTGTGGCCGCATTCGCATCGATGAGCAAGACCAGATCTCTGTCCCCAATGATTGTGTGGAGAAGTGTCGTCATAGTATGCCACCATTCTTCACGTTCAGAGTGGGAAATACCACTTTGCGGGGCATAGATCACCGCAATCCAGAAATCTACATGCTCATTGCAAACGTGTGCCAAGAGATAACGAGGGCTCGTGTGAGTGACAACAACATGAGACTTGGAGAAGCAAAGTGGCACTTGGTTGTGCCAGCCGTAGGGTTTGAGGTTCACCCACAGCTCGACTCCTTGTTGTCCCTGTCGATCTCCACTGGCCAGGCGTAGGACTGACTCAGCAGTTGCCGAGCACTGTGATGTACGCGTTTCCTGCAAGCCGAGAAAGTGAAGATGCTGATGTTGAAATTGTTCACGCACGTAGTGCAGTTTGCCTGGCACTCCGTCTTGACCCCAGTAAAAGGTTCTGACATTGGCCGATGCAAAACTGAGTGTGACTATGATCTTGTCAAGGAGGTGCACCTTTTCGGTTGTGTCCGGGCAGACCATGGTGGTAGGGACTTCTGGAGGAGTGATGGCAATTCCTCCTTCGCATAGTGTGGGAAGATCTCCGTCCTGCGGGAGTATAATCCACAAAATGCGTAGAATGCGACCAAATGTTTGCATATTGATCTGTTGTCGTGGCAGATACAGACTGTTGCGTCCCTCCAACTTGGCGAAGAAGTCGACAAGCTCGTTGAAGGGTTCCCCTGCATGACTGCGTGTGTGGGCAACTCTGAGATGGTCTCCTGGGAGGAGAGCTTCAAGAGCTTGGATTGGAACGCCGCCCGAAGGTTGCGATAAGGTGCGTTGTGCGCACTTGAACCAACACGTCCTTGTGCTTGACCTCCCACGAGTTGCGAGTCAGTCACATAGATGGTTGGGATGCGGTGATTTTGCGCAAGCCTCGCTTCTGTCTCAGCGGCATCGGAGCCAATATGGTCAGTGCCTATATGATGATGTCGATCTGGTTCATATAGTACCTGTTGGCAAGTCAGGCCAATGAATTCCAGCTGTCGCTCCTCCTGAGCAGTGTCCTCGGTGTATTGTTCAGCAAAGACCGCAAAGCACCATGAATCACTCACATCATGTAGATCAGTCCATAAGGGTGAACAGTGTCGCTTCCTGCTCTGCGAAGATCCGTCTGTATAGATGACCTGTCGGGCTGGAGCTGACTGTGGCGCCGAAAGAAGAGATTCTGGGAGCCTGGTCGGGCCGTGGAAGTGCGCGGACGCGGCGGACGCCTTGCCGCTGCCTTTTCCCTTGCACATCTGCCACATGGCTTCAGAGTCGCACGTCCCTTGAGCCAAAATGGCTACGGAAGATTTATATATATATATAGAGAGAGAGAGAGATAGATAGATAGAGTGATATAGTGATATAGTGATATAGTGACATAGTGATTTAGTGATATATATTTCAAGCGAGTGACTTAGGACTTGTGAAAGATACCCCGGTGTGGCCAAGTCCTATCTCATCATGCGTCGAACCCCCCCCTGGACAAGTCCCAACTCATCAGGTGTCCGTATGAGATTAGAAACTATGTTTGACTTTTTTTAATGCGGCATGGACCACTCGTAAAACCATGATGACATAGGACTTGTGCCCCCCTGGTGACATATGATTTTGTGCACCAAGTCCTGTGCATGTATGTAATGTAATTTACTGTAATGTACTGTAATGTAATGTAATGTATTGTAATCTAATGTAATGTAATGTAAGTATGTAGGTTCTGATGACTTAGGACTTGTGCCCATCTTGAAAAATCTGATTTTCATCGCTCCTTCGATTTATATACAGACATTATTTGAAAGCAATTAAATAAATTGAAAAATATTGAAAAATATAAATATATTTTCAACGTATTATGTATTGTGATGTAATGTACTGTATTGTAATGTAATGTAATATATGTATGTACGTTCTGATGGCTTAGGACTTGTGCCCCTCTGGTGACATACGATTTCCAAGTCCTTTGCATGTATGTACTGTAATGTACTGTACTGTACTGTACTGTAATGTACTGTAGTGTAATGTAATGTACTGCACTTTACTGTAATGTAATGTAATGTACTGTAGTGTAATGTACTGTATATACTGTACTGTAATGTACTGTAAGTATGTAGGTCCTGATGACTTAGGAATTGTGCCCCTTTGGTGACATACGATTTTGTGCACCAAGTCCTATGCATGTATGTGGTGTAATGTACTGTACTGTACTGTAATGTAATGTACTGTAGTGTAATGTACTGCACTTTACTGCAATGTAATGTACTGTAGTGTGATGTAATGTACTGTACTTTACTGTATTGTAGTGATGTAATGTATTGTACTGTAATGTAATGTAAGTATGTAGATTCTGATGACTTTTTAAGAGAAGATTTTTTTAACCCTAAAAAGTGCTTGAATCCAATCACAACCCCAGTGACTTAGGACTTGGTGCACACAAATCACCTGGTAAGAACACCAGTGACTTAGGACTTGGTGCACAAAATCCTATGACACTATGGTGGCCTAAGTCCTAAGTCATCAGTCCGAAATATAGTGATAAAGTGATATAGTGATATAGTGATATAGCGATATAGTGATATAGTGATATAGTGATATAGTGATATAGCAATATAGCGATATAGTGATATAGTGATATAGTGATATAGTGATAGAGTGATAGAGTGATATAGTGATATAGTGATATAGTGATATAGTGATATAGTGATATTGTGATATAGTGATATAGTGATATAGTGATATAGTGATATAGTGATGTAGTGATGTAGTGATATAGTGATATAGTGATTTAGTGATTTAGTGATATAGTGATATAGTGATGTAGTGATGTAGTGATATAGTGATATAGTTATAGTGATATAGTGATATAGTGATATAGTGATATAGTGATATAGTGATGTAGTGATAGTGATAGAGTGATAGAGTGATAGAGTGATAGAGTGATAGAGTGATAGAGTGATAGAGTGATAGAGTGATAGTGATATAGTGATAGTGATAGTGATATAGTGATATAGTGATAGTGATATAGTGATATAGTGATATAGTGATATAGTGATATAGTGATATAGTGATATAGTGATATAGTGATATAGTGATATAGTGATATAGTGATATAGTGATGTAGTGATATAGTGATATAGTGATTTAGTGATAGTGATATAGTGATATAGTGATGTAGTGATATAGTGATATAGTGATATAGTGAGTGATAGAGTAGAGTATAGAGTGATAGAGTGATAGAGTGATAGAGTGATAGAGTGATATAGTGAGTGATAGTGATATAGTGATATAGTGATATAGTGATATAGTGAGTGATGATAGTGATATAGTGATATAGTGATATAGTGATATAGTGATATAGTGATATAGTGAGTGATGTAGTGATGTAGTGATGTAGTGATATAGTGATATAGTGATAGTGATATAGTGATAGTGAGTGATATAGTGATATAGTGATATAGTGATTTAGTGATATAGTGATATAGTGATATAGTGATGTAGTGATATAGTGATATAGTGATATAGTGATTTAGTGATATAGTGATAGTGATATAGTGATGTAGTGAGTGTAGTGATATAGTGATGTAGTGATATAGTGATATAGTGTATAGTGATATAGTGATAAGTGATATAGTGATATAGTGATATAGTGATTTAGTGATATAGTGATATAGTGATTAGTGATATAGTGATATAGTGATATAGTGTTATGTAGTGATATAGTGATGTAGTGATGTAGTGATATAGTGATATAGTGATATAGTGATATAGTGATATAGTGATATAGTGATGTAGTGATATAGTGATATAGTGATGTAGTGAGTGATATAGTGATATAGTGATGTAGTGATATGTAGTGATGTAGTGATATAGTGATATAGTGATGTAGTGATGTAGTGATATAGTGATTTAGTGATATAGTGATATAGTGATATAGTGATATAGTGATATAGTGATATAGTGATATAGTGATATAGTGATATAGTGATATAATGATATAGTGATATAGTGATATAGTGATATAGTGATATAGTGATATAGTGATTTAGTGATAGAGTGATATAGTGATATAGTGATATAGTGATATAGTGATATAGTGATATTGTGATATAGTGATATAGTGATATAGTGATACAGTGATATAGTGATATAGTGATGTAGTGATGTAGTGATATAGTGATATAGTGATTTAGTGATTTAGTGATATAGTGATATAGTGATGTAGTGATGTAGTGATATAGTGATATAGTTATAGTGATATAGTGATATAGTGATGTAGTGATGTAGTGATAGAGTGATAGAGTGATAGAGTGATAGAGTGATATAGTGATATAGTGATGTAGTGATATAGTGATATAGTGATATAGTGATATAGTGATATAGTGATATAGTGGTATAGTGATATAGTGAGTGATATAGTGATATAGTGATATAGTGATATAGTGATATAGTGATATAGTGATATAGTGATATAGTGATATAGTGATATAGTGATATAGTGATATAGTGATGTAGTGATATAGTGATATAGTGATATGGTGATATAGTGATAGAGTGATAGAGTGATAGAGTGATATAGTGATATAGTGATATAGTGATATAGTGATATAGTGATATAATGATATAGTGATATAGTGATATAGTGATGTAGTGATATAGTGATATAGTGATATAGTGATTTAGTGATGTAGTGATTTAGTGATATAGTGATGTAGTGATGTAGTGATGTAGTGATATAGTGATATAGTGATGTAGTGATGTAGTGATATAGTGATATAGTGATATAGTGATATAGTGATATAGTGATATAGTGATATAGTGATATAGTGATATAGTGATATAGTGATTTAGTGATATAGTGATATAGTGATTTAGTGATATAGTGATATAGTGATATAGTGATATAGTGATGTAGTGATATAGTGATATAGTGATATAGTGATATAGTGATATAGTGATATAGTGATATAGTGGTATAGTGATATAGTGATTTAGTGATATAGTGATATAGTGACATAGTGATGTAGTGATGTAGTGATATAGTGATGTAGTGATATAGTGATATAGTGGTATAGTGATGTAGTGATATAGTGATATAGTGATATAGTGATATAGTGATATAGTGATATAGTGATTTAGTGATATAGTGATATAGTGATATAGTGATATAGTGATATAGTGATACGGGTGATATAGTGATTTAGTGATATAGTGATATAGTGATATAGTGATGTAGTGATATAGTGATATAGTGATATAGTGATGTAGTGATATAGTGATATAGTGATATAGTGATGTAGTGATATAGTGATATAGTGATTTAGTGATGTAGTGATATAGAGATGTAGTGATGTAGTGATATAGTTATAGTGATATAGTGATATAGTGATATAGTGATATAGTGATATAGTGATGTAGTGATATAGTGATATAGTGATGTAGTGATATAGTGATATAGTGATATAGTGATATAGTGATATTTGATGTAGTGATGTAGTGATATTGTGATATAGTGATATAGTGATATAGTGATATAGTGATATAGTGATGTAGTGATGTAGTGATATAGTGATATAGTGATTTAGTGATATAGTGATTTAGTGATTTAGTGATTTAGTGGTATAGTGATATAGTGATATAGTGATGTAGTGATGTAGTGATATAGTGATATAGTGATTTAGTGATTTAGTGATATAGTGATATAGTGATGTAGTGATGTAGTGATATAGTGATATAGTTATAGTGATATAGTGATATAGTGATATAGTGATATAGTGATGTAGTGATGTAGTGATAGAGTGATAGAGTGATAGAGTGATACAGTGATATAGTGATTTAGTGATATAGTGATATAGTGATATAGTGATATAGTGATATAGTGATATAGTGATGTAGAGATATAGTGATGTAGTGATGTAGTGATATAGTGATATAGTGATATAGTGATATAGTGATATAGTGATATAGTGATATAGTGATATAGTGATGTAGTGATATAGTGATATAGTGAGATAGTGATATAGTGATATAGTGATTTAGTGATGTAGTGATATAGTTATATAGTGATATTTGATATATATATATATATATAGCTTTACACGTCATTTCTATATATTTCTATCACAACAACTCCAGGGTTCACTGTGCGGTCTCCTCCACGGCTCGTCGCAGGGCCAAGGCGCCCAAGGCACCCATGCCTTGGCCCTGGCAGCCGAGGCCCTCGCAGGCGCGACGCCGCAGGTAGACCTCCTGGCAGATATCTGGGGATGTAATGGTGATTTCATGGAATTTAATGGTGATGTAATGGTGATTTCATGGGATTTAATGGTGATGTAATGGTGATTTCATGGGATTTAATGGTGATTTAATGGTGATTTCATGGGATTTAATGGTGATGCAATGGTGATTTCATGGGATTTAATGGTGATGCAATGGTGATTTCATGGGATTTAATGGTGATTTAATGGTGATTTCATGGGATGTGTAATGGGAATATAATGGGATAATGATATATAACCATATGACCATATCTATTAATTATTACTATTCTTCGGCCTATCATCTGTCACCCTAGCGTTTTGTCGTTTTTTTTTGGCGGGTGTGTCCATAAATGGGGGGGTTCCCCAATAGCTGTGTTTCTTGATTTAGGGGTACCCCATGTCAGCAAACCTCCATATGTGCCATCCATCCTATATTGGGAATCATTACAATGGGTATATTAAACCCTATTGATGGGTGTATGACCATCCCCTTCTATGTACTATTGCTATTCCTATGTACTAACTACTATTTCGAATATCATTGTTATCACCCACTGCTTGTTGATAGTTGGATCCCAATTCTTGATGGTCAAAAAACTGTCAAAGATGGGGGCACAGTTGAAGTTAGAAAATTGTCAAGCCATGGTTATAACAGCCCATAAGTTGGGATATAACCTCTCGAAAAATGGTTCATTTATCATAGACTGGAGCTGCATTCTTTGCACTTCCAAGTGTGCATTATTTATTATTATGTGTGCTTTGTTATTTTCTATATTCTTGGTGTTAATTACTACTATTCTTACTACTATGACTATAAGAACTATTACGATCAACCTACTATTACTATGTATATACTATGGCCATGAAACTATTTTTACTATAACTATAACCATTAATGTAACTCATATTTCTGCTACTGTTGCGCCCTGCTGTTTCTAACTATCGTTCCGATCTTGGAAGAATGAACAAGTCGACTTGCGGTGCCCTTTTTGAGCCCTTTCCTCCTTGTCAGGCATGCCGCCAGAAAAGCAGAACCAAACAAGGGTTGAGCAGACACAAGAGCACGGGACTGGCTGCGAAATTTAATCGGAAGGTTTCAGCGCAGCAACGGGTATTTGACAATGTATGAAAAACGTGTGATTGTTTAAGTTTTTTTAAAGGGCTTCGGACATGCTGCGCAATGCATGCAAAACGCACGGAAAAAATGAAGTTTTGGTGGTTTTGGTCCTAAATGCGGCCAAAGACGGGAAACATCCATGCTTGTTTTGAGCCCCTTCCTCTTCGTCAGGCATGTCTCACCCCAGGGGAGAGCAATGCAAGAGGAAATCACCAAAAAAGGGAAGCAATTCTGAACAAATCTTTCAAACATGGAAAGTTGAATGCAGGTCTGACGGCCTCGTACCAATGCGTCTTCCGATGCTTCCATCCCATCTCTCTAAAGTACAGCGCTTGCCACGAAAAAGTGCATCCAGGTCATACAAAGTGCTGCACCTGTCACGCGAAATCACTGTAACAAACTGAAGGTCTGATGCTCCGAAGTTCAAGCACTGGACATAAGCCTCTTCACCTCCTAACACGTCTGCCAGGCGACATGGATCTGTGCAGATCCGCTTCAACTGCCCCACGCTTGCCATCGTTTTTGAAAAGTTGAGCGAAACCCTCACTTTTCTCTCAATTTTGGCAAGGTGCAAAATCCCTTGCGCCTCCCAAACAAATGACTCCAAAAGTGGCCCAAGCATGGTGTGTTTTTCACATGTTGACTTCGAAATGTGCTTCGTGCCACGGTTTTTTTATCTCTCATCTGACCAGATGGCTCCGCACCCGCCGCTTTAGCGAGCCTACTTTTCGACCCTCCGGGGCCACAACACATTGGAAAAATACAGCGTACCTTTTCGCCCACCTGCATCTTCCATCTTCTGACGCTTTCTCTTCTCTACCCCCTCGTCTTATGCTTTCGGTACACAGAAGCCCACTACTCGCAGACCATTGTGCTGCCCTGGCTGGAGGCGCACGGCGCTCTGTCGATTGCGCCATAAGAAAATTTCGCGGGGCCGGGTGGATGGGCAGAACGGACCCGCCAGAGACTGCGCGCCCGGAAGGGAAAAAGATTGCGTGCCGGTGTGTTCGCCGTGTTGTCTTTGCAATTTAGAGAGCGTGTGACAAAGTTGTGTGTGAAAGATGGTGTGTGACAACGTGGTGTGTGAAAGATGGTGTGGCGAAAGATGGTGTGTGACAAAGTTGTTTGTAAAAGATGGTGTGGTGAAAGGTGGTGTGTGACAAAGTGGTGTGTGAAAGATGGTGTGGCGAAAGATGGTGTGTGACAAAGTTGTTTGTAAAAAGATGGTGTGGCGAAAGATGGTGTGTGACAAAGTGGTGTGTGAAAGATGGTGTGGTGAAAGATGGTGTGTGGCAAAGTTGTGTGTGAAAGATGGTGTGTGACAAAGTGGTGTGTGAAAGACGGTGTGTGTGTGTGTGACAAAGTGGTGTGAAAGATGGTGTGTCAAAGATGGTGTGTGAAAGATGGTGTGTGACAAAGTGGTGATTGAAAGATGGTGTGTGTGACAAAGTGGTGTGAAAGATGGTGTGCCAAAGATGGTGGGTGACAAAGTGGTGTGTGAAAGATGGAGAGTCAAAGATGGTGTGTGACAAAGTTGGGTGTAAAAGATGGTGTGTGAAAGATGGTGTGTGTGAAAGATGGTGTGTGTGAAAGATGGTGTGTGACAAAGATGGATTGTGAAAGAGGGTGTGTCAAAGATGGTGTGTGACAGGTTTATGGCATTGTGTTTCCCACATTAGTGACTAAAGAATGGATTTGAATGGGATAATTCCTCCATTTATAGTGTATTTTCCAACCTTTTCCCATGATTTTCCCATATTTTCCCATGATTTTCCCACCTTTTTTTACGACATCCTCAGTTTTGATGGTTCCACCTGTTCCACCATCGCCCACGACGTTTCCCTCGGTTGGCGCGGCACCTCCCGCAGCATCACTGCCACCAGTGCCTCGGTGCTCTCCCGTCGTGGACCCACGGAGCCGAGGAACCACAGGGCCTGCGGCACTGCGCTGAGCTGATCAAAGATGGGATAGAAACATGATACATGTTGTATTATATATATAATAATGGATATGGATAGTGACTTTAATATATATTCTAGATGATTAACCATCATTAACCATTTGTAACCATATCAACCATCATAACGACCTGGTAGTAGTTGTGTTTGCTCTATAAATGGATACAATGGGAATAATATAATATGATTATGGGAATATGGGAATATATATATATATATATATCACCATTTTACCATAGGATAATATGTAAGTCATCATCATTAACCCATGATTATTGATGCATATAATAATAGTGGTTAATATATATATATGGGTAAATTATAATATTGCACTAACCTGAATCTTGCGGCCATTTGGGGATGATTCCCCGAATCCTAACTATGATTTCCAGTGAGGGAGAACAGTGAGGTCGTTATAATTTACCCAGATATATATATACACTGTATACTGGTTGGTGGTTTTAACCATCTTGAAAAATATGAACCATTGTCCAACTATACAATGTACCCACTGGCTATTTAACATAGCCATGGGAAATGGTCCATTTATAGAGGTTTACCTATTAAAAATGGTGATTTTCCATGGCTATGTTAAATAACCAGATGGTATACGTATTGTATTATATATTATTTATATGGTTGGCTCAGACATTGGTGTTCCAAACCACCAACCAGATATGTGTCGCATTATGTATATATATATGTACTGTATACTTTCACTTTCAGGCTACTGTGCTAAGGTAGCACTCGGGCGCTTTATATATTGTATATGATGGATATATATATATATACATATAATGTGGGTAAAACAATAATAAACCAACCCCAAAATCACCATAAATGGGTGGAATAAACCATTCCCAAATGGTTGGTTTGTGACATTGTTTTAACCACATTACATATGTATGTCTATATATTTATGTATATATATATAGTCTAGTCATTATGTGCAGTTGCATATATGATATGTTTCGATATAGAATCATCCAAGTATATGATATGTAGGTTACTGATGGATTGGATTCAATTAAGATTGGATTCGAGCCAATAAATAGAGAGATAAGGCCGTATGAACAAACCATTCCATACTGCTCCATGATATTTGATTGAGATGCAGAAAACGAACCTATGATGGTTCCTCTCAGGAAAGACAAAAGGGCAATTACCCCCTCTAGGGCACAACACCAACAGGCGCTTCCATAGAGTATCTGACAGCACACATAGCAGCTCGCAAGCCAGCCATAAGACCATTGCTTGCAAGGGAATAGTGTACCATGTCGCTCTTTGCCTAGATTGTGGACCAGTTTGCAAACAACCACAATTGCTACTGGTGGAAATAAGGCGATCAAACATCTTGAAGCAACCTACTTGTGCCCGTCAAGAGGGGGGGTCGTTGTATTTCTGGGGGCACGGTTCAGCAAAATAAGGCTTGGCAGCACACATAGCAGCTCGCAAGCCAGCCAGAAGACCATTGCTTGCAAGGGAATAGTGTGCCATGTCGCTCTTTGCCTAGATTGTGGACCAGTTTGCAAACAAGCACAATTGCTACTGGTGGAAATAAGGCGATCAAACACCTTGAAGCAACCTACTTGTGCCCGTCAAGAGGGGGGGTCGTTGTATTTCTGGGGGCAAGGTTCAGCAAAATAAGGCTTGGCAGCACACATAGCAGCTCGCAAGCCAGCCAGAAGACCATTGCTTGCAAGGGAATAGTGTGCCATGTCGCTCTTTGCCTAGATTGTGGACCAGTTTGCAAACAAGCACAATTGCTACTGGTGGAAATAAGGCGATCAAACACCTTGAAGCAACCTACTTGTGCCCGTCAAGAGGGGGGGTCGTTGTATTTCTGGGGGCAGGGTTCAGCAAAATAAGGCTTGGCAGCACACATAGCAGCTCGCAAGCCAGCCAGAAGACCATTGCTTGCAAGGGAATAGTGTGCCATGTCGCTCTTTGCCTAGATTGTGGACCAGTTTGCAAACAAGCACAATTGCTACTGGTGGAAATAAGGCGATCAAACACCTTGAAGCAACCTACTTGTGCCCGTCAAGAGGGGGGGTCGTTGTATTTCTGGGGGCAAGGTTCGCTAAAATAAGGCTTGGCAGCACACATAGCAGCTCGCAAGCCAGCCAGAAGACCATTGCTTGCAAGGGAATAGTGTACCATGTCGCTCTTTGCCTAGATTGTGGACCAGTTTGCAAACAACCACAATTGCTACTGGTGGAAATAAGGCGATCAAACATCTTGAAGCAACCTACTTGTGCCCGTCAAGACGGGGGGTCGTTGTATTTCTGGGGGCAGGGTTCAGCAAAATAAGGCTTGGCAGCACACATAGCAGCTCGCAAGCCAGCCAGAAGACCATTGCTTGCAAGGGAATAGTGTGCCATGTCGCTCTTTGCCTAGATTGTGGACCCAGTTTGCAAACAACTACAATTGCTACCAGTAGAATCATGGCTTTCGTACACCGCAAGAAACCGTCCTTGGCAAACACTTCTGGCGACCAAGGATGTTCAACTCTCTAAGATAATCTAGAACAATTGTAATGAAATTTGAGATAATCTTACTAAGATAATGGTAATCTAAGATATGCAGAGGATTTCTCTACAGAAAATGTCTTGTTTCCAGTTGCCATCTTTGAACACGGCGAATGGGACAACGGCACCCGGGTCCCCGAACCAGACCACGAATGTAGGGATGCACCAGCTCCTCTAAAACCTCCAAACCTCAGCTGTTGAGGGATTGGATGGGATGTTTTCAGAGGTGTCCAACTATCAACGGATGTTTCAAGGGATTCTTGTTTCGGGAAATCAAAGTTTTAAGCCTCAAAATGTGTAGGGTGTCCTTGCAAATGTACCCTCAAAGCATGCTGGGAAACTGAAAGAGTGCGAATTAAGAGTCCTTTGATGTGTATGTAGTATGTAGAAAGAAATTCAGACTGGAGATGCATGCAGCAGTTGTTCACTTTCTGCTCAAATTTGATAGAGGTTGATGAACACGCTGCAGACCATGAACCAATGGATACCTGACCATGCCATATATATATATATTATATATGTGTGTGATACCATTTGATATGTGTCCTCATTTTTTCCATATGCATTCCCATTTAATGTAAAAACACACACACACAATCAGTCGTAGTAATTTACCGTGTGTTTCCCAATAAATTTACCATTATCATGATAGTGATAACAACAACTATATATATATATATATATTAACCATAGAAACAACGGTCATAGTAATCGTTTACCATACCACACCATAATCACCATTGTCCAGCATTGTCAATCAGTATCAGAGACAAAAAACATCGTAGTAACTTGCAACAACCCCCAACTCATAATCCCCAACCAATTTTCATCGGTATTGTTATTGGTATTACACTTATAACTATGGTATTAGCCATAACTATAAACATTATACCCTCTGGTTATTTAACATAGCCATGGAAAATCACCATTGTTAATAGGAAAACCATCTATAACTGGGCCATTTTCCATGGCTATGTTAAATAACCAAAGGGTATAGTATATTGACCATAGAAATAACCATACCCCCAAGTGGTTTACCATGGATCCCACCAAATCCTATCTCCTATGCGCTGGGTCATCCTTGCAGCGTGCCACCGCCATGTTGGCTGCCCGCATGGCGTGCTCACGTACCGCCACCACCCGGTCGGAGTGCGCCTGCCCATACCGGCAGCGTTCATGAGATAAACATGGGGATGAAGCAGAACCAACAGAAAATGGTGGTTGGACTATGGAAACCTGAAACTAAGCCTTGCAAATTGGGCTTTAAACCTGAATCAAGCTCTAAATTGGAGAGCTGAAATCTGGAGAAAACCCGTGGTTTTTGAGCCAAGTTGGTGATATACCAACTAGAAATTGCTTAAAGCTTTCATGATTGTCACAAGCATGGTAATATTATGTAATATTGTGATGTTGATCTACTAGACACGATGCCATGATATTGTGATACCAGCATCTTGGATTCCTATGACCCGACCCTTAGTGTGTTCCAACCATTGATATACGATGACCATTGTTACTTCACCAACCCAAAAAATCTAGGTTGGATCAAGCCAGGTCAAAAAAAAACCATGGGCAGAATGATCTGCAACAAAATTACAACCATCCATCTGAGTGATGTTTGGGTTACACCATGCTATACACCATTGTAAAATCATAGCCCTCCATTTTTGGGGAGATTGTTTGGCGATTAGGATATTTAACTCCATTCAAAAATATCGTACTGCTGAACCTCCATCTCCCGTTTCGCTAAATGGGCGCTGTCAGCACGTAGTTTTGGGAGGGGAAAAAAACGCCATGCAACTGCTGGGTGAACATCAAGTCACCGGATCTTGCACCGAACCAGCAAGGTATATAAATTGTGTCTACAGGAAACCATAGATTTTCCCATTACCCTCTGGTAAACTAACAGTTTGCTATTTAAAATGGCCATTTATAGTTGATTTTCCCATTAAAAATGGTGATTTTCCATTGTTATGTTAAATTACCAGAGGGTAAATTGTGTCCTTTTCACGGAAGCCACAGTGATTGTATTCAACTTGATGTTTTTTGTCGGCCTAGGCCCTAGGAGTCGTGCTAAATTCAGACGCGATTCAGGTGAGGTGGGATTGAAACACATTGCAGCCAAGACTAGCCTGAAGGATGTTGAAGGCATATCAACTACAGCAAGAGTTCCACTTCAACGGACCCACTACTGCAGCTGTGACCCTGCATCAACCACAAATGATATTGAAGCGATACCCGGAATCAAAAGAATCCGCCTCACTTCAGGCATAAGCCTTGCATGGACATCATAAACATCGTACTACAGCAGATGGATAAAATATTCAAACCCTGCAACACGCACTATGTTGAACCCCCGCACCCCCAAATCTCAATGTTTCAGCGCGCGTGTTACCAAAAGTGATATTTTTCGGGCTTTGATTTCTTTCGTCCATTGGGGCTAATTAATGCACTTCAGGTTACATTAACATTGAACTTTGGGGGCGAGGGGGGGGGTTTTAGAACCCATTTGATTTGATTTGATTCCATGAAAAACTGGTTGGTTAATTCTTCAGATTTTTCAGTTAAATGGTTGGCTGGTTAGTGGTATACCTACCCCTCTGAAAAATATGAGTTAGTCAGTTGGGATGATGAAATTCCCAACAGAATGGAAAAATAGAATTCATGTTCCAAACCACCAACCAGTTGGTCAAAATCTATAAAAGATCCATGTTGATCATCCCCACTACCTCCGCGCCATATCTCGCCTTGAGGAGGGCTGCAGCCCCTTCCTTTCCAGCCATGGGGCCCAACTTGCCTGGCCCAAGCCATCAAAAACCTACTTCTTATCGTTGGTTCATGGAGATTCCCAGAATTTATTGTAATCATAATCATAATATAAATATGTGTACATAATATATATATATATAAAATCATTATGTGTATATATAATTATAAATAATTAGATATGTGTGTATATATATATATATACGTATAATTAGATATATATATATATATATATACAATATATATATAATATATATATAATATATATAATATATATATAATATATATAATATATATATATACAACATATATATATTATAATATATATAATTACATATATACGTATATATAATCCATTATAATCCCATATGATATAATCCCCCAGAATGTATTGTGATATTATAATATAATGATATATGCGAATCCCCGATATATATATTATTGCGGAGTATAACATGTATAATATAATCATCACCCAACTGGTGTTTGTGAAACGGCTCAAGTCCTTCAAGATGTTTTTCTGGGGATTGGTACCCGGAAAACCGAAAGCGCGCCGGCCTAAACTCATGGCGCAACGCCAGCGGACATCCGTCTCGTTGCCACGAAGGGCCTATCCGTTTGCGCTGGGTTCAATGGCTTTTTGTTACAGGAAAGCCCCATATTTACCCTCTGGTAAACTAACATAGCTATGGAAAATCACCATTTTAACGGGTAAATCAACTATAAGTGGCCATTTTCAATAGCAAACTGTTAGTTTACCAGAGGGTAATGGGAAAATCTATGGGTTTCCTGTAGATTTTCCCGCCAATCCATTGATGAGTCTGTTTTTTGATCGAACTCCGGCAATCGAAAATCCCACTTTCATCCACCACATGGCCGAATAGTGGGAATTTCACATCAACATACCCTCTGGTGATTTAACATAGCTATTGAAAATGGACCATAGAAATAGTTGATGTACCCATTGAAAATTGGTGGATCTTTCATGATCTTTCCAGTTTGTTATGTAAACGTTTACCAGAGGCTACTAGTTTAGCTTAGTAATGTAGTTCTGGATGTTCATCCCCCCATCTTTCGCCATGTCTCCGGAACCTCCACCAGAGCTTTCGCTTCTTCCTGGCACTCGCAGTGCCAGAATCCCCCAGTGGTGTACCACTCGTCCCGAAAGAACAACCTGTACACGATGGTGCCCCCCAGTTATAAGTTAGTTATAGTTGGTTTATAACCCCATTAACTAGTTCTTGATATCATGTTATATGTATAATAATCCATAGTTATGTATAGTTATAAGTATAATAAACCATAGTTATGTTCGTTAAACCTACCATGGCCCCCATAGAATTCAGCCACAGCCATATCTCAACTGAACGCTATCTGAACGGGGGCTCCTCCCCAGACTTCACCGCACCCAGGGCTTCAGCGCAACGGCAACGCACCTAAGATGATGGTGCTTCAAAGCGGGAACCAACAAATAAAATCATCTTAACTGAGCATCATGTTTGATAAGTGATCATTGTGTGTACATATATGTATATACATATAATATGTATATATATATATATGTATGTATATATATATATATGTATCTGTAATCATCTATGTATACATATAATATATATATATATATTATACATATGATGTATGTATGTGTATATATATATACATAGTATGTGTATGTAAATAAAATTGTATATGGGTGTAGAATAGTTTTTGGTATTATTTTGCCTCAGATTAGAATTGTCTTGGTTTTCTTTCCTGGTACCATTTGCCTTGTATTTGCAACAGTTTGGAACTAGAACCTGTCATTTTGAATGGTATTTGCTACATTTTGGCATGGTCACTTTGCATTTTGCATGGTATTTGCTACATTTGGCCATGTTCGCCTTCCATTTTGCATGGTGTTTGTCACATTTTGGCATCTCAACCTCGCATTTGCATGGTATTTGCTACATTTTGGTACTTCAAACGTTCATGTGGGTCTCTTGAGGGTTCCTTAGGCTTTCATTTAGGGTGCCATTTAATGTTTCATTTAGGGATTCATTTAGGGTTTAATTATGGCTTCATGTGCGGCTTTATTTAGGGTTTCATTTAGGGTTTCTTTAGGGTTTCATTTAGGGTTTGATTTAGGGTTTCTTTACGGTTTCATTTAGGGTTTCTTTAGGGTTAGGGTTTCTTTAGAGTTTCATTTAGGATTTTTTTCCGGTTTCATGTAGGGTTTCTTATCGTTTTTTTTTATCAGGAGTTCTAAAGGTTCAAATGGGTTTCCTTAGGGCTTCTTTAGGGTTTCATTTAGGGTTTCATTTAAGGTTTCTTTAGGGTTTCAATTTAAGGTTCCATTCAGGAGTTCATTTAAGCTTTCTTTTGGGTTTCATTCCAGGGTTTCTTATCAGGATTTCTTTTCACGATTTCTAAACGTTCAAGTGGGTTCCTTTAGGGTTCCTTTAGGGTTCCTTTAGGATTTCATTTAGGGTGTCATTTAGGGTTTCATTTAGGGTTTCTTTAGGGTTTCATTTAGGGTTTCTTTAGGGTTTCAATTAATTAGGGTTCATTTAGGGTTTCTTTAGGTGTAAATTTAGGGTTTCAGCTAAGGTTTCAGTTGAGGTTTCATTTTGTGTTTTTTTCAGTGTTGTTTAGGGTTTCTTTGGGATGTCATTTAGGCCGTCCGTCATTTAAAGTTTTTTTAGGGTTTCATTATTTCATTTATGGTTTCTTTAGAACTAATTTACGGTTTCTTTAGGGTTCATTTATGGTTTCTTTAGGGTTCATTTAGGGCTTCATGTAGGGTTTTTTTATCAGGATTTCTTTAGGGTTTCTTTGGGTTTCACCTAGGTCTCTCTAGGGCTTCATTTAGGATACAAACAGAACAGAATAAAGCAAAAGAAAATGAAAAACAAAGAGACAGGAAAGACAGGAAAGACAGGAAAGACAGGAAGCAAAAAAGCAAAGGAGCAGGAAGTAGAGCGGCAAAAACACATGACTGAAGGAAAAAAAAGTAGAATAGTAGAAGTAGAAAGGCACAAAAGTACAAAAGCAGAGAAGCAGGGAAAACAGAGAAGCAGAAAAGCAAAGAAGCAGGAAAAGCAAAAAGCAGAGAAGCAGGAAAAGCAGAGAAGCAGGCAAAGAAGCAGAAAAGCAGAAAATCTGAGAAACAGGAAAGCATAGAACCAGGAACCCCCAAAAAAAAACAAATCTTGCCGCGAAAAATAATATGTATATATATATACATAATATGTATACATATATATATATATATACACAGCATAAACATTGTACAGCCATGTATAACCAGGTAAACACCATGCGGTAATCAAACATACGAGTAGCAATGGAAAATTTCAAATTTACTTCGATGATTTTCCCACTAAAGCGTCCATCTATAGCATGTTATAGCTATTGATCGTGGATTTCCCAGCCATGTTTGACTACCAGCGGGTATACCCAATGGGAATTTTCCCAAGTGCCCACCAAGGCACCAAGAGATCTTTGTCCACTTTCAGTGCCCGTACCAAGGCTGACGCGCCTAACTTCCCTGGGCTCCATAGATGCAACTCCAACACGTTCAAGCCATGGTGAAACAACAGGGTCATGCTTCATTTAAGGAGCGCTACAAAATGCTACAAATTCTACTACTTTGTAGGCTGACTACGTCAAATCTCAAAGAGATTTACATTTTCTGAAAAAGATCCAAATCAGAAGGACCTTCCGATTTGAGGCTCCGTCGTTTTGCCGTCACAGAATATCATATCAACAACCAATGTCAATTTGCCATCTTTCCCACTCGTTGTTAAAAAGACAGAAGAAAACAACGTGTTCTTCTCTTTTTTTCCCAGAAGTCAGAGTGGTTGTTCACGAAAACCCATATTTGACTGGTAAAATAATGGGTGTCCTGTCGTTTTTCCCCTCCAATCACTACCGCAGGCCTGCAATGTGCCCCAGGTGCCCCAGAGCCATCGCAGATCTCCTGACCCACGGATCGGTTCCGTTCGTCAAATGACCATCGCTTCTTGTTGGTCAAATGACCGATTTGTTGTTTGCAAAAAAAACACGGAGTTGGCCAAAAATATGATCCCAAAATTATCCCAAAATGATCCCAAAATTATCCCAATTTTATCCCAAATTTATCCCAAAATGATCAACTTTCAACAACTTTCAACCACCAAAATGATCCCAACTGCCACCACGCTGCTGAACTCCGCATGGTGAGTAACGTAAAACCACTATGTTTCTGCTGAAATCCACATGCTGACGATCAAAATCAGCAAACAAATACCATGGGTGTTTTTTAGTCAGTAGAATCCCTATATGTTTCTGAGTGAAAAATATAGGGATTCTACTGACCAAAAAACCATTTACTGAATATCTTTTACAGGGGATTTTACTGAATATCTTTTGTTCCCAGTCAAATCCCCTGTCGGAGTTCTTTTTGCAGAATCCCATAATCTTTTGGTAAAATCCTGATTTGACCATATCAAAATGGAAGATGTTCATCGATCTAACCATCAAAAATGTTGGATGTCTGGTGATATTTTGGTAATTACACCAACAAAGATGGGAGACTCATGTGTTGCTAATAAGATCCCAATGTCTTCCTTAAAAAAATCTCCATGTTTCGCTGGTCAAGCCCCATTTTTGCTGGTAAAATCCTTCTTTTTCACTCAACCTCCCATTCTTGCCGGTAAAATCCTCAAGTTCTGCTAGCAAAAATTAAAAAAAACAACAACAAGTTCAACAAGTTCCAAAAAATGTGCCCAAAAGTCAAAAATCCCCAAGTTTCTGCTGGTCAAATCCCACTTTTTGCCCAGAAAAAGGTCCAAAAATCCGTCCACAGCAGCTCCTCCGGACCGAGGCGTCACGGTCATCCTGCAGGGCCTTGGACAAGGCCACGGCACCACTGCCACGCGCGGCGGCGCCCATGCGGCCAATGCATTCGGCCTCGGCTTTAGATGGTTTTAGTGGGTGTGTATTTAATATAGATATAATATTATATAATATATAATATATAGTATATAATATATAATATATAATATATAGTATATAATATATAATATATAATATATAGTATATAATATTATATATAGAATATAATATATAATATTATATATAGAATATAATATATAATATTATATATAGAATATAATATATAATATATAATATATAATATATAGTATATAGTATATAGTATATAAAATTATATATAGAATATAATATATAGAATATATAATATATAATATATAATATATAATATATAATATATAATATATAATATATCATATATAGTATATAGTATATAATATTATATATAGAATATAATATATAGAATATATAATATATAATATATAATATATAATATATAATATATAATATATAATATATAGTATATAGTATATAATATTATATATAGAATATAGAATATAGAATATATAATATATAATATTATATATATATATATTATAGATATATATTATAATATATAATATCATAAATAGATATATTAATACATAAAATCACAATTGAATTCCAATGAATTCCATGAAATCACCAGGAAATCACCATTAAGTTCATTAAATCACCCTTATAATATCCATCAAAATCACCGGCACCATGAAGTTAATTAAATCACAACTAAAATCATCATGAAGTTAATTAGATCACCATGAACACTAAATCATCATCAAGTTGTGATCTTAGTTATTTTCCCAAAAGGATAAACCCACTCAACAAGAACCTTGAAGGGAAAATGACAGGAGATGAAGATGAATTTCGGGGGAAATGTGGGGAAAATGGAGATACTGGGACGAAACAATTGGATAATGGATATAATCTGGTTGGTGGTTGAGCCTACCCCTCTGAAAAATATGAGTTCGTCAGTTGGGATGATGACATTCCCAACTGGATGGAAAGTCATAAAATTCCATGGTTCCAAACCATCAAGCAGTAATTATATCATCACCAATTATAATGGGGTTCATTTGGGCGCGGCTTGTGAGTTTGTCTGAAGTGCATCCCTTTGAATACCTCATGCTTGACGTGGAAATCTGGAAATCTATCGGGAAGATAATGGGGGTATTTCTCCAGTAATTCATTGAGCATTGTCACCAGCATTTATGGGATTATAACTAAGATATGGGGATATTCCCTGGGATAGTCGGGAAGACGTGGATCATAAGTTCGGACTGTAACCGACAACAGTGACAGATAGTGGGGATATGACGATGTTAAGATCCCATTGAGTTTGACACCATTAGATGTGCACTCGGATTCTGGCTAAAAGAGCCCTCCAATACATATATATATATACAAACACATACATGAAAGTGTACATATAGATCTATATATACATACATGTGTATACATTTATATGAATGCATGTCTTTTCTGACCAAAAAAAAATCGGATAGGTGCGGCCATGCCAAAAGAACTCGATCTGCAGTGCTTCCTGGATCCCCGCGCCAAGCCAGTTCGCACCTCAGGCGTCATCTTGGACCATTCCAATCATCGTTGATTGATTCACTTGATCTGTTTTCGGGTTTCAAAAATGGGGATCTTACTGAAATCCAATGGTAAATCATCATTTGGGCCCATCTAGTCTTTTTAGTGGCTGTGGCTTGGGGATCTTTCCCATTTTAAGACACGCCCAACTCATGGCGTTGGTGAGATATCTCATATATCCCCAATGGCTGGTTTCATCCCCCTAATGTAAGGCAGGGAGATCACTTTGGCCATAAATTTCCATCACTTTGGTCATAGATCATCCTATGACCAATGATGATCACTATGTAAAGGAAACCAGCCATGGAAACCAAAAGCTCCGCTCCGCCAAGGACTGGACGTAGCTATCCGACACCACCTGTCCAGGTTTTCTCTGCAGCAAGGCCTCGCAGAAATGGTTGCGAAGCCGTTGCTGTCGTAGATGCGGATGATAAGAATGGTCGCTGCCATCATCATCATCATCATCATCATCATCATCATCATCCTCAACCTCATCCTCATCCTCATCCTGATCATCATCATCATCATCATCATCATCATCCTCATCCTGATCATCATCATCATCATCATCATCATCATCGTCATCCTCATCCTCATCCTCCTCATCATCATCATCGTCATCCTCATCCTCATCCTCCTCCTGATCATCATCATCATCCTCATCCTCATCCTGATCATCATCATCATCATCATCATCATCATCAGCATTGTCATCCTCATCCTCATCCTCATCCTCCTCATCATCATCACCATCGTCATCCTCATCATCATCATCATCATCATCGTCATCCTCATCCTCATCCTCATCCTCCTCATCATCATCATCGTCATCCTCATCCTCATCCTCATCCTGATCATCATCATCATCCTGATCATCATCATCATCATCATCACCATCATCATCATCATCATCCTCAACCTCATCCTCATCCTCATCCTGATCATCATCATCATCATCATCATCATCATCATCATCATCCTCATCCTCATCCTGATCATCATCATCATCATCATCATCATCATCATCATCATCAGCAGCATTGTCATCCTCATCCTCATCCTCATCCTCCTCATCATCATCATCATCATCACCATCGTCATCCTCATCCTCATCCTCATCCTCCTCATCATCATCATCACCATCATCATCATCATCATCATCATCCTCATCCTCATCCTGATCATCATCATCATCATCATCATCGTCATCGTCATCCTCATCCTCATCCTCCTCATCATCATCATCATCATCGTCGTCATCCTCATCCTCATCCTCATCCTCATCCTGATCATCATCATCCTGATCATCATCATCATCATCATCATCATCATCATCATCATCATCATCGTCATCCTCATCCTCATCCTCATCCTCATCCTGAACATCATCATCCTGATCATCATCATCATCATCATCATCATCATCATCGTCATCATCATCATCATCATCACCATCATCATCATCATCATCATCATCATCATCCTCATCCTCATCGTCATCCTCATCATCATCATACCACGACCATGACTGCGATTCACATTACCATGGTGCTGATGCTGATGATGGTGACATTCAGGCTGATAGCGGTCAAACTCGGGCACGGAAAGCAGAAAAGGAAGATTACAAAAAATATCAAGGCGATGAATACTTGTCAACCAACCTCAAAAGTTCGGCCATTTGAGGATGATTCTCCCAATCCACCCCACACCTTGGCCAGCGCAAACGCGGCGGTATTCCCCGCAGCCTGGGGCAGATGCGCCACGCTCCAGAATCAATAGATCCAGTACTGCATTTGGGGCTTCGCTTGGGGGGATAGGAATCATACTACAGTAATAGGAGGAAGGGAATACCTGAGAATGAGATGCTTTGCTATAAATAATGACAAAAATCCTCCATCGGCTGCTTGATATGACCTTCAGCTTTGACCCACAGATCATTAGGGTCTAATCAACAACAACGGGATTCAGTGTATGCTATTTATAATGATTTATATTCTCAACGGAAAGATGGTATATGCCATATAGGACCAACAAGAATGGGAACGCTTCTGCCGCAGCCCCGCCTCCCCCAGGTGTGCGATGGATTCCGCCGCGCCCCAGCGGATGCCGGCGTCCAGGTCAGTCCTGGTGCGTGTTATCCTAGGGTTAAAAGTCTGAGTTCTGAGGTACTGATGCTCTTGAGTTTTTTAAAGGTTTGTCGTAAGGTGCCAATTTTACATATTATATATAATATATATTATACTATATTATATTATATTATATTATATTATATTATATTATATTATAATATATTATATTATATTATATTATATTATATTATATTATAGTATATTATATTATATTATATTATATTATAGTATGTTATATTATATTATATTATAGTATATTATATTATATTATATCATATTATATTATATTAAATTATATCAAAATATACTGTATTATGTTATATTATGTTATATTATATTATATTATGTGCTATTATATTTTATTATGTTATATTATATCATATTGTATTATGTTATATATTATATTAAATTATATTTAAATATACTATATTATGTTATCTGTATTATATCATATTGTATTATATATATATGTGTTTTTGATCACCAAATGTCCAACCGGTTGGGATAGACTCAAATCGAGCCCTGTCAAGGTTCCTGGTGAGCGCTTCAGCCAAGACCTCCGCACCACGGATGATCACCATGCTGGTGGCATTCTCAACAGGATGCCCCAGCCTCGTTCCGCGGGTTCCGTGGGCGGCTCACTGGGATGATTGAACAACAGCCTCACGGCTGGGAACCAAAAACAAAGAGGGAGAAAAACATCCATTACACAAGTTTCGTATCATCTGATGTCAAGTATTAACTGATGTATCTTCAAGGAAAAAAAATTAAAGGAAGGGAACAAGATGGAACAAGTATAGTAAGCCCCTCTATCTACTAGCAGGTCAACATCCCGGCCACCCATTTTTGCCAAGTGCTTCATCGAATCATTGGACTGTGGCTCACGGCTCGCTTCTGGCATTCTGGTGCTGGATCTCCCATTCTAAGCTGGTTGGTGGTTGAGCCCTACCCCTCTGAAAAATGATGGAGTGAAAGTCAGTTGGGATGATGAAATTCCCATATGGAAAAATAGAATTCATGTTCCAAACCACCAACCAGTTGAAGTTGAATGCCAAAGCGGGGTGATTTTGGAACAGCCTGAGGCGAGAGGACTGAAAGCTCAGAGAAACCCTATAGTTGTCGCACCTTTTCAATGGACGTAGTGGGAGCCACTGATCGCTGGTTTGAGTACCTCTCGCCTTTGCCCCGGCCATTGCAGCAGGAGGCTGCAATGAGCCAAGTCCCCAAATTGGACCGACAGCTTCCGTTTGCAGTCAAAGGAACCAACACCACGCGAAACCATCAACGAAAAAGACACTCTAGTATAACATGGCTTAGGTGGGAAACGTCACATGTTCAGTAGGTGGGAAAAAAACTTACATAAACCAGAGAATTGAAGGCAATGCTGCGCATTGGCTCAATCGAAAACCATCAAACTTAGCCTCTTAACTTTGTTTTTCATGGATTCAGGACTTGGCTGTGCTACGACCCTGGCTGAGACACTAAAACGGAGTAGCTCTGGGTACAACCTGGTACAACCTCTTGTGGGCATCCGAAATTCCAGAAAATGATACAAACATTGGAAAATGATGATTTGCTGCTTCGAAACTTCACTAATCAGCAAACGGCAAGGGTCGCTCCGAGTCGTTCGGGCTGAGAAGGGTCGCCATCGGGATCCCAGCATCGGCCGGTGTGAAACACCACGGGAGGGAAACGTATGCTGTTCAAAGCTGCGGGTAGTCTGCAGAGATTCCCAAGATTACCCCATCTCTAGAGAGAGAGAGGGAAGAGAGAGAGAGAGAGGGAGATAGATAGATATATATATATATAGTACGTTCTGAATCGTTATGTCGCGACATCTCATGTATTTGCACTGCATGTACTGTACCTATAATGCTATGAAATTGGGTCCCACTCTTAGGCCACAGAATGATAGCATATGATAGCTATGTCACTGGACATCTCACTGCTGATACGAAACAAACAAAAACATGAAAAACACCAGATTTCAACCAGTTTCCTCTCCCATTTTCATCCCGGCAGCCCGGCTCCGCCCAGCTACTGCATAAATTCCTGCGGCATCAGCTGGTTGCAATCCTCATCGGTGTCAACGCCATAGGTCTCCACCAATTGGGAGGTGCGGATGCCCATGCCTTCGCCTGTCGAGATGGCAACAAGTGACGCTGGGGCCACCCCAAAAAAAAGGCGACAAATGTGGATTTAACCAACAAAAATGCGAAAAACATGAAAAAACAACAGAGAAAGGAGTGGATTTTATCCCTAGGAATTGGGAGTTAACCAAGAATGCTGGGAAATCAGGCACCCAAACATGATCACCAAATCAGTAAACCAGCAGCAAAAAATTGCACTTCAGCGGACCATTCATATTTGGCGAAATGGGTTCCAGTAGATAGATGCATTTTGAAACCCTTGCTCAGGTCACACCAGACTCAGTCTCCAGAAAATGCGAGGGTGAGCTTTGATTCCGAAACCCGGATGGGTGTGTTTGAAAATGTGGCGCATCCCAAAATAGCAGCAATATATATATATATTTCTATGAGCAAATGATGATTAAACATTGAATTTAGGGGTACCCCCCATTTTCAGAACCCGGATGCTTCCAACTGTAGCATCTTCCTTCACCGGCGCCTAAGGTGCTCAAGGTGTCCATGCACAAACGCTTGCGCTTGCGCCACGCTTGGTGCACCTGGGATGTCAGGGATCCCCCACAGATCCTTGGGAGACATGAGGATTTTTTTTCAAATGGTGAGGATTCGCAACCAAAATGAGCAACCGAAAATTCGTGAACATGATTGTGATCTATTGTGATCCAAATATATGATGTTTGGCTGATGTTTGGATCGATATCCTTGCAACCAAAATATCCAAAATTAGAAGATATCCTGAACCGATATTCTGGCGGTGAAAAATCCAGTAACAGCATGGGCAGCATGCAAGAGGTGGGGGGACCGCAACCCTGGTTTGGTTGGACCATGATCATGCATACCCAAATAAGCTCTAAAGAAATATAGCTGAACATACCCAAATGCTGTTCGAATGATGGCTTAAAATCTATTCCAAACATTGAACTATAGTAAGTAACATGAGTCGTGTGTGTGTGTGTGCATAAATTATTTAACTATACAGACGTACCCTAACCCTGTGACAATGTTGGCCCCAGATGCCTGAGCAAACTGTGTCTCAACGGCTCGGACTTCGCCTCAGAAAGCAGCAGAAATTCTGCCCCATTTTTGGAGGAGACCATGGAAAAAAGCCTGGAAAATGCATGGAAAAGTCATGAAAAAAACGGATTTTCCAAACCTAGAGGTCCCCGAAATCAGTGATATTCCGTATTTCTTGAGACATGACTACTTTAGACATCACGTCTATATTTGTCTATCATCTTTTAGTGCGGTCTAAAGTCTAGCCCTAGTTTGGGCTCGAAATTGGGGAGAAAAGGGGCACAGGGACACATGTTGCATGTCAACTTGTGAGATATCTGGCTCCCCTCAGACTTCCTCTGGACTTATGATCCCGTGCAGTCTGCGGCGAACGGATCATGTGGGTCAAACAAGACTAAAGACAGCGATGAAAAAATGTTGGTCACCCTAAATTTGATGATCTTTGGTGGCTAATGCGGCTAATGGTGATTGGATGTGATGGGATGTCATTGGTTACCGAAAACAGCTACCCCCAACGGTTAAATTCTGCTCAGCCACTCTCGTCCACGCGGTCACCATCGGCAGTTCTGCGCCATTTCTCCGCCTGCTCCTGGAGCTAAGATCAAAGTTGGCTGCAAAGGAAAACAGTCTTAGCTGGATGAAAAGCCAACTTTGATGAATCCAAATGTCTTAGCTCAAAGTTGATGAAAAGAGTCTATGGAGTTGGAATCCAAATGATCCATATCCGAGGCCATATCCTTTTGATTCCTTTTGTAGTAGTAGAATCATGTAGAATCACACTATAATCTATAATCATATATTCCCCCAACTATCATGATCTTCCATGGCGTGTACTAAAGTTCCGGACCCTACAGGCGCTCCTCAAGCCTGGCTGCTTCAGCTTGGCTCTCTTTCGCCTGACATGTTTCCCATCCAACCTGCTGGGTACCCAGCTGTGATTTCCAATGGGGAAAAGGGAAAACTCGAAGGTGACCCCGTGACGTTGCTGGATGGTCGGAAACTCGGAGTCCTCCTTGGCAGCCGAATGCTTCGCAGCCACCTGCGACATCTCCTTCCGCAAGATGTCCTAGGATCGTGGAACCGAGCGCCATGAAGACGTAGCGCCGGAACGTTGTAGAACCAAGGGCCGGTGGGAATTTCATCAAGGTGTCAAGATATTCAGTTGACACGATTTGTATATGATAATCATTGAGTTGATCAATGCTTAGTTGGTATATGATATGAGTTATATATTCATCATGGGGTTTTTAGTTGGTGTAAAAAATGTTAAGCCACCGCAGTTGTTTCGTGCGGCAGTTGCGCGGCACCTGTAATGCAGTAAATGATCAATAGATGGTGGTGCACGGTTTCCGCTCAGGTATCAATGGGACAACACCAGGAACTTGTTGACCGGAGTTCTTGATCAGTTGAAAACTGTGACGATCAGTACCCGAAGCTGTTCGCATAACGTCCCCACGTTCCCAGTGTCGCAGCGTAGGTGGCAAATGTATGCAGTGGCAAAAAGCTACCGAAGTTTGAACGGTACCCTCTGGTAAACTAACATAGCTATTGAAAATGGTGATTTATAGTGGATTTACCCATTAAAAATGGTGATTTTCCATAGTTATGTTAGTTTACCAGAGGGTAGTTTCCACCCTATGTCATTCGGCCGATCTGAAACCGCCCTGCCAGATGAAAAATCCCCATCTGGATGGGTCCAAGTTGCTAAGGATCCGTGGAGCTCTTTCCTCTTCTTGGAGACCTGTGGCCACTACGAGTCGTGGAAATTGATGGAAAAAAAACTCCGGAAATGGAGTTCGGATTAAGGCCTCCCAAAAAACTACACAACTCAGGAAACAATTTCTAGTTCATATATTATATATGTATTTATATGTGTATATATATATATAATTATATATAGCTATGTTTCCCCAACAACTTGGAGCCAGGTCATCTTATCGCCATTGCCGGGGCAGCCTCATCCACCTGTTGCTGCAGGTTGCTGGCATCCTCCGACCCCGCCACTGAAGTTTGGGAGACCAGGAAGACCTGGGGACAGGAAGGGTAGGGTAGATTTGTTGAATATCTATGATGGAATATAATGGGATACCAGTAGTACCGCACAAGGCGGTGGCGGAAGTTTCAAAAATAGGAAACCTATAGGAGAGGTCGGTTGTTGTGAATCACGGATGGCAGAGCGAAGTCACTGACTCCATCTATTTCTCTAGCTGTCTCTCTGACTATTTATGTATCTGTCTGTCTGTCCATCTATCTATCTATCTATCTGTCTGTCTATCTATCTATCTATCTATCTATCTATCTCTCTATGTATCGATCTATGTATCTATCGATCGATCTATTTATCTATCTATCTGTCTGTCTATCTATCTATCTATCGATCGATCTATCTATCTATCTATCTATCTGCCTGTCTATCTGTCAATCTATCTATCTATCTATCTGTCTGTCTGT